CCACTGTCAGCATTTATCATAATTCCCAGAGTATCAGTATTGATGCAGGCTAATTTTATCACCAAAGGAATATCACAGAAAAAGCTGTCTATCACTCTAGGTCCACAGAAAGGTAGCTCCAAAATCAGGATCAGTTGACTAATGCCATGCACAAATCCAATGATCCACGATATCACAACCAGCCAGATGCACTTCTGTCTGTCCATGATGCTGGTGTAGTGGAGTGGCCTGCAGATGGCCACATAGCGGTCATAGGCCATTGTTACAAGAAGAACCATCTCACCCCCTACAAAGAAATGCACAAAGAGGATCTGGCTCATGCAACCTCCATAGGAAATTAGTTTATTTTCTTTTACAAGGTCTATGATCAGTTTGGGGGTAGTAACTGAGGAAATGCATAAGTCAATAAATGAGAGATTGGCTAACAGAAAGTACATGGGAGAATGGAGATGGTGATCAGTGATGATTAATATCACCACAAAGGTGTTTCCTACCATAGTCATCAGGTAGAGGATGGAAAATGGCAGCAGGAGGAAGATCTGCAGTTCCCTTGAGGTACAAAGCCCTTGGAAAATGAACTCAGAAACCGTAGATTGGTTTACTTCTTCCATTGTTTCTCTGTGCTCCAATAGGTTGAGAGAGACAGAGCCTAACAAACCATTACTGAAACAAAAACAGTAACTTAATATTCACAACCAAGTAAGAAGAAAAGAATACAAATTATATCAACATTGTATTCAGTAAGATTTATAATAACTGTTTCATGTATATCCTTTCTAATCATTATATTTTTCTAAATATAGAAAATTTCTATACATCACAAAGATAATATTCATGCTGGTAAAAATTTGTATAGTCTAAAAATACCAGTGGCAATTACTCTGTTTACATTTTTCAACTGTTTAATAAATCTTTTTGTCTTTGGATCAGTGGTAATATTCCTCAATTATTATCTGAGGCATATTTACAGCCTCTTCAATTGATTGTCTTAATACCAGATTGATAAACCATTCATGTATTTTAAACATAAACAAAATGTTTCTAGACATTAAGTCTTTTTTGTCTATTTCTATAGGCAGAATCAAATCCAGTGTATTAAAATTTGTGAGAAATGTAGCTCATCAAATAAATTGACAATTTATGTGCCGAAGACAAGTATTCAGCATTGTGTCTTTCCTTGAACTTTGGACTCATCCATTTTAGGGTACCTCTGAACAATCATATATTACTAGGTTTCAGGATATTATTTATTGCTATATACTTACATTTATTCAACTCTAAAACATGATACTTCATACAACATTTTGAATAATGTGTTCATGAATATTCCTTTCTCTGCCTCTCTAACTTTCTCTTTCATTATTTCCTTTTTTTCCTTTTACTTCTTTGACTGTCTGATTTTAATGGTGTCTCAATAGTTTTTTTATTAATTCAAAGTCTGTACATTTTCTTACTATTTTTATGTTTGAAATTGGAAGGTTAACATGTTAACAAAATAGGTGATAGTTTGTGAATTTCTGTTAAGAACTTAAAACATTGTATGGTAATAATTATCATGTTTATTGATATCCTAGACCAATAAACTCTATGCAGAAGAAAACTATAGTGAAAATGAGGTCTGTTTAATTTCAAATTCCCCAAAACACTTCAGTATCATAATATATATAAATTTCAATTCTGAGAATTCCAAGAAAATTAATGACATTTATAAAACAAGAGACTTTGCTACTTAAATGCAAGTACAAATAGGAAAAATAAAAAATTTAAGCAGCAAAACTAGAATTATATAAAATTAATTTTATTGTGTTCAAAATTGAGCATATTTCTTGCTGAATACCAATGTTTTTTATACATCTTTTTAAAAAATTTGTGAATTCTTAGTGAATTATGATTCATCTAATTTGTGTTACCCTAATTGCACTCAATTTCTAATGACTAATTTTCTAAGATATTGTCTGTATCTTGAGAAACTAGAGAATCTAAAATTCAAAAGTTAATCAGATAACATTAGAGTAAGTTTAGTGGCCTGTGAGTATTAAGTTTTTCTGTGTTGTGAAATTTGGAACTTCTAAAGTTTACTCTAAGTGATCAATAGATGTGAGCATATAAAACTACTTTATCTTTTCTGATGTCTCAAGGACTAGTTGGAAAAGAAACCTATAGTATTGTTATCAAACACAACAATTAAAAACTACACATGCAAGACTCACTGTAACTTGTGAAAGATTTAAAACAATGTGCTACTAAAGCAAAAACATATAAACAAACAAAGCTTAAATGAGAAATTGTGATGGCAATTTAAAGCACAACAGTCATTTTGTGATGTACTCACGCTACAATAGTCGCTTTATTAAACAGATCTTCCCTTTTGATTGATGTTTCCCTAAAATCTGAAATTCTTATTAATCATTGTTTCTACACTCATCAATGTCACTGAATTGTTTCCTTTCAGTGTCTCTTATATAAACTGACAAGAGTCATGTCTGCCTTGGAAAGATTCCCATTCTCCACATTAAGTAGAACCATGAAATTGGAAAGCCTTTTGCTTTCATAGTCCTTGGGGATTCATTGACTCCAGCTTCTCTTGAATTGAATCCAAGAGCTCAAAAATAAAGATAATTGATTCTTTAACTTTATAAATATTTTGTCATTATGAGTTAATATTTTGTATGTGCTACGACAAGTTACAAGCTAAGATAAATAACATGGGCAATGTGATACCTTAGCAGTGAATGTCACTTGTTGCCAAATCTGATGACTTGAGTTAATCCTAGGGATCCATAGAGTGGAAGGAAAGAAACTACTAACTCAGCTGTCTTCTGATCTCCATACATATGTTACAGGAGAACAAGTACATATAAATGCAGCTGCAACCATAAAACATGGACCAACATGCATAATTTGGTTGAAAAAGGAATAAAACATATCTGTAGTTTTAAAGTTCACATGCTTATTTAGACAATTATCTCTACACCTAGAAATCCCCATAGATTTACTTATTCTTTCTCACTCTCTTTTGATACTTTATGACCAATGCCTACCACACCTATGAATCAGGCACATGAACTTATTTTAGGTTTTTCAGTTTGTCTTTATTTTCAAATACATTTCATTATATATACCTAAAGTGAATGTAGTTATGTTTTGATAGACACATCTACAGAAAAATTACATATTAGTAGTTTATATAGAAAGTGTATGTGTTAAAATAATTTCAAAACTTCCTTTGACTTTTCATCACAAGCTTTTGCTTCATTAAATATAGTTTTCATTTCATAAATTTTAAAAGTAATTTATTTTGAACTGTGCATGCAGTTTTCTAGAGAAACATTATTGTATATGTAAAGCAATTTTATAAATGAAGTAATTATGGATTTAAATATGCTCCTAATCTTTCATATAATAAATATGTTGCTATAGTGACTTCTCCAAAGTACATTTATTAACTGCAATCTCTTATACTTTTGTTATACTTGTAAGAATCTCAGAAGCCTTACATATATCCATTCATGTACTTCTTCAGTTCCCTGACTTATTTGTTCATTAATTGCTATTGCATGCATTATATATGTATACATACAAACATGCATGCATATATACAATTATAATCTCCAATAATATCTGCCCTCTCTGTTTAATGCTATGTGTATGCATGATTTTTCATATTTGGTTACTGAGCAACCAACTGGTGTACTCTTTCCTGGGAGGTTTTTATGTCCCTATCACTCCCAGATTTGCCCATTTGTATTTATATATACAAATGTGTGTGTGTGTGTGTGTGTGTGTGTGTGTGTGTGTAAGGCTGAGTTAGGTTTGGTAGTACTTTAGTACTTTATAGACTACCTGGCCTCTTGTATTTAATGTGAAGTGCTTTTGCTGCCCATGCAGCATACCGATAAGCAATAGAATGTGCCCCTGCTCTTCTTCACAAAACCAACATGAAAGTTCTGAGAATCAAAGCACATATGTTTCCTCAAGCATTAACAACACAAAGATAATGAAACAAGGAGATGTAAAGGAAGAATTCTTATACATGATTTGCTAATGGAAACCATCAAGGAAGACTCTGTTAAGACTACAACCCACAGAGACACTACTGCAGCCTTTTACATAAAGTACCTCTGCAGTGACACCTGCCAAAAAAAATTAGTTCCACTTCAACCTGGAATGATTCTGCAGTTAATGCCTTTAGTCAGAGTTATTGTTTTATGTTAAATGATGGCTCTTCCTCAGTTTTGACTTTTGAAATTTTCTTTATAATGTAGATATCTTTGTTGGTAGAGTGGTTGTCTTAGCACACATGAAGCGCCAAATTTAATCACCAGCAATACAAGAAACAGAGTGAAAGTGGAGACAAAACCAGAATCCTAACACTTGAGACACAGAGGTAGGATGATAATTTCAAAATCGTATCAGCAATATGATGAGTTTGAGGCTGCAATGGGTTACATGAGACCCTGTACAAAATTAAATGGTAAAAAATATATGTTAGCTAACTTTGTTCTTAAAATGTTGCATTACCATAAAGTGACTATAT